AAAAAAAAAAAAAAAAAAAAAAAAAAAATTGCAGACATGGTAGAACTGGAGAGATCTTTTCATATGGCTAAATAAAAGTTGAGACTGTAAGTGTGTGTGTGTGTATATTGTTTTCTTTTTGCTAAGTGAAATTGATTTGATAATTCTTGCTACCAAGCAACCAGTGAAAAGTTAAAAAACTGCTTTTTAAGGCTTGTAGCTGTGAATTCTCTTTTGGAAAACCTCTATGATCATGTAATTCATTGGGAATGCGGCTTTCAGGGAGTTACAGTTATTATTGAAAAGTTGTAAAACGTTACTTCCGGTGAATGTAGTTTGGATTAATTCTGCTCTCTTAGTTTTGTGTTTTAGACATTTGCTAGATACTTACTGCTTCTGTATAAAGAAATTGCCTGAGATTCCTGCCTTAACCTGAGTGCATGGCGAAGGCAATTTTTATTTTATTATGGCTTTTTGTGGGGGTTTGTAGTGGAGATCAAACAGGGGTCCTTGCACTTATGAAGCAGTCAGGGGCACCACTGAGCTAAATCTCCAGGCTCCTTGTATGACTTTTTTTTTAAGACAGACTCTCAGTATGAAGTTGAAACTGCCCTGAAACTCACTATGTAGCCCAGGCTGGTCTTGATCTAATAGCAATCCGCCTGCCTCAGCCTGAGAGTGCTTAGATTACAGGCATGTGCCACCACGCCTGGCCCCTTGTATGACTTTTTTTTGGGGGGGGGGGTTACTGGGCTCAAACTCAAGACCCTGAACTTGCAAGGCAGGTGGTGGAACCACTGAGCTAAATCCCTAGCCCTCTCTTCTATTCTTTTTAAATTTAGAACAGTGAGCCGCAGTTTGTTTGCCTCATCGATCCTTGTTAATGCTGTGGCTTTTCTATTAATCTCAGCTGTAAAGTGATCATTGTCTCATCTTACATGTGGACTTCGGTGCAGAAACGATTTTAGACTTTTTAAACAAAGTTTATCAGTGTGATTAAATTGGGATCTTTAGTTAGTTGCTGGTTCTATTTTATAAATGTTTAAGCAACCTAAGTATATTGTATTTCGGCTATTAGTTTCTGAAGAACTGAGGCAACTTTATTCAAAAAGTCGTACTGGTTGTTGTTTTGGTTTGGTTTGGTTTATTTATTTTGGGACAAGATCTTCCTAAGTTGCCCAAGTAAGACTTGAACATGGAATCCTCCTACTTCAGCTTCCCAAAGAAGCAGACATTATTTTTAAAAAAGAAAAGGCCATGACCTGTTCTTTAAAAAGAAAAAGTATAAAAGTTGTGTATTTGATGATGCAAACAAAAATTTATATAGTTTCCCTTGATTTAGATGATGCTCTCAAAAAGCCTACTACGAATGCTAAAGATAATTGTCATGTGTTTAGAATATATCCCGGGCAGCGGATTTAGCTCAGTGATGCTGTGCTTTGCAAGCACAAGGTCCAGAGTTCAGTCCCCGGTACCAAAAAAAAAAAAAAAGATTATATCCTGCTTTTAGAAAGTACTATACTTTGCTTCTAAGATACAAAGAAAAAGTTTTAAATAATTATTTTTTGTTGATGAAAAGTTCTTAACCTGTTTTCTTAGATATTTAAGTGTCAAGAATATAGAATTCAATTGATTTTTTTTTAAATATAGATGCATGAAATAGTTGTTTTATTTACTTGATAAAATATATTTCAGTAATAAAATAGGCTTTCTAGCCAAAGGCAGAAATATAATATTTTACTAAGTAATATACTGTTGCCTGGAAAAGCATTTTGAGATGTAAACCTTTGACTTTTGCATGGTATTGGTAAGGCCAAGGAATTATATATTCTGAAAGAATAAAAAAAGGAACACCCAGTTTAAAGTTCTTTTGTACAAGATAGCTTGAAAAATATGCCTGTTCATGGTAGAGCAGTAGACAGCGTAGTGTTTATTGAAAATTCATTTCTTTTTTTTTTTAATTTTTTTTCTGTTAACAAAAACATACTGTACTATCTTAGTTTCATTGCATAATAATCAAAGAGTGAATTAATGAGGATGCTTGGACATTGAGAAACTAACTCAGGAAAAATACATACTTTTTTAGAAAAACTGTAACTTTATTTTTAGAATATTTTGCCACTTGTCAAAAAAAGTTGGGGAAACATTTTGTAGTATATAAATCCAGTTAATAAAAATTCTTCTGAGAAAAAAATAGTATTTTTTTTTTTTTTTTTTTTTTTTTTTTTTTTTGGAGACAGGGTCTCACTATGTAGTTGAGACCAGGCTGGTCTCGAACTCACAGTGATCTTCTGCCTCAGCCTCCCGAGTGCTGGGATTACAGGCATGCACGACCATGCCCGGCTTATAATTATCTACTTTATTGGTCACAGTACTTTTTATATTTTACAGTTCAAACAGATGAGTTACAACATATGGATAATGAATATAATGGCTATGTCATAATTAATTTACTCCTCTTAATACATTTCTTCTCTGTTTCTCTTGGATAGAATTAACTTTTCTTTTTGGATAATTTATTATTAACCCTCTGAATAAAAGATAACTTCTTTTAGCAGAAAATTTTCTTCCAGCCCTTGAGTTAACTAAATTGCACCTGAATGGGAATTGGAAAATAAATAAAATGTGCTAGTATCTAATCTTTGATGATAGAGACACTTCCCATTTGATTCAGAATGTGATTTATGAGGAATTAATGTGAAATACAACTCATAGAAAAGGTTGAGAGGAAATTAAATTTTTGAGAGATAATTAAAAGAGAGATATCACTTGTGTCTGTTGAGAGCTTATGACAAGGAAGTGACCTCAATAACAGATGTCAATGATAGAATGAAGAGTAAAGGAATTACAGCTTCCTGTGGAGATGTTCCCGTTAATATTTTTAGTCAGAAGAGCTTATATATAAGGATTTCAGCGTTTAAAATGCTTTGTTTATTCACTGTTGAAAACAGGGCCAACTGAAGACAACACCCCAGTATATTAAGCTTACTAGATTTTTAAAATACAGTTCATCTTTGTAAAAGAATATCTATAATTAGCATGTATGGCTTTGTGAGAATTTAGAAATGAAATCTACTATTTATTGGAAGTATGTTAGTGAAGGTCCACCAGACAGAATGTGAAATGTTTTCTACCAACCTGGATTTCATGGGTTACCCTTGAGTAATGAAAAGAAGTTGCAAGAGAACTAAATATATTGCTTCTGAAATATAGTTCTGGAATTCTTTTCAAATATCTGCTTTACAATTATGGAAAGAACAAAGTAATGCCATAGAAAATAAGTCAGAATAACTTACTGATTGGTGAATGTAATGAAGTTGCCAGTGTCTTTCGTAAACAAGACAGGGCATAAAGCAAGTGTTTATCATCAAGATAATAATTGCCAGTGCATAGCACTGTCTCATTGTGAGCAAAAATTTGAACAGAGATGAAATATGAAGAAAAATTGAAAAGACTTCAAAGTAGCAGATAACAATCCTACCTCCAGAAAATTTATTTGAAATTTTGTTGAAGGGTTTTTATAAATTATGTGTCAAAAATGTATAGAAATTCTGCTAGCTTCAGGCTTGATACAGAAATTTACATGCCTTTTTGGGACTAACGCACTGCTTCTAACACCGCCACCATTCAGAAGAGGTATAATTTTCTGAGATTTTTTTTGTTTTTCTTTTTAATTATTAAAGAACAACAGTATAATTTAGTCTAAAAATAGGCTACATTTTATCTATAGTAGAAATGGTCTTAATTTTATTCTAACTTTCTTTATAACTATGCCTACATAAAGCTCAAGTTTGTTTGTTTGTTTATGACAAGGTCTCTTTATGTAGTTCAGCCTGGGCTTCAACTCACTATGTAGCCTAGGCTGGCCTTGATCCCCCAGCAATCCTCCTGCCTCAGCCTCCTAAGTACCAGGAGTACTGGGATTAAAGATGTGTTCTGCCACACCCAGCCCTCAAAGTGATTTTTTAATTTTTAAAGCTACATGAATTAATCCAGTTATCCTTTTAGGTTCTGAAACTACACATGATGTCATTTTTTAAATAAAGTTATTCTTCATTTTAGTATTACAGAATGTCATTACAATTTGATACTATATATCAGGAAGGAATGCAGTCTTGTTTGGAATCTTTCAAAACAACTTTGTGATATTGTAGAAGACACACTGCTACATGAATGTCAAATAGGAAATGAAGTCATATGCCTTTGGCTTTAGAAATTTTTATATGGCAAGAGAATGAATGAAATGTGTTTTTATATTGGATACTCAGAAATAAAATGTATTAATTATTGAATTGACACTAATAAAATCCTATAGTCATGATTGATGATAATTATCATGCATTTTTCCTTGGCATCTCCATTAAAAAAATAAGTTACAAAGATCTTAGCTCTGACCCTCTGGGTATTTTACAAGTAAATGCACTAAACCTATAACAGGAAACATTTGTTTTCTCAAATAATTTTGCTAGATTCAATTGTAAACTTTTTTTAACATTTTTTCACAACACTTTAATAAAACTGATAAAATATTTTTAAGCTATTTTCTAGTTTGAAGAATATAACTGGGTAAAATAGAAATCTTTGTCTTCTTCATCCATACATTTGTATTATTGAGAAAATACAAATGTATGGAACTAAATGAGTGATCTGTATTTTCTTTGCATAACTTGTTTTGCCTTCCAACAGGAAAAAATTCAGATCCAGTTAACGCAATCATTTGAAAAAGAGGAGAAGCCCTCAAAAGATGAAGCAGAAAAAGAAAAAGCCAGTGATAAATTGCCTAGAAAAATGTTATCAAGAGGTTTGCAATTTTTTTTCTTAAACAAAATATTTAGTTTTTTTTCACTGAAATTCCATCCTTTATGCCTCAAATAATTGTATGTAGTAGGTGTCGTAAAAATAATAAAAACATAGTGGGGGATAATACAATATTTACTCATTCAGTATATCACAATTCAATATGTCAGTAAGATGTTATAGCCAAAAATGCCAACACATGACCTGAATCACTAAGGACGATAATCATCTTGGTCTGCTATTGGTCAGTCTCTTACTAAAATACTAGAGTCTTTATTATTTGAAAATTGATTGAACTAAAATTATTACTTATTCCTTATCAGAACATATAAAGAACTGATGCCCTAATATTTAATATACACTAAAAATATGCTTGGAAACCCAGAATGTTTTATCATTCATTAAAAGTTTTGGGGGTTTTCACCTTTGAGGGTTATCTAAGTTGTTTGAATTTTTCATTTAAAGAGGCATTCTTGAACATGAAGATGTGGTAAGTATATAAAAGAATCTTTAAAGAAAAGCAAATTAATATGGCATATGTGAGAGGTTAATTTTTTTAAGTGAATGTACATTCAGTCTTACAAACCCTAGTCATGCATATTATATGAAAATAGAAAACTTACTGTCATCTCAGTTCGTCACAAGTTCCCCTTTCCTACTTTGTCAATTTTTTTTCAATGTGGGGCATCTCATTTTGTTTAAGATGTGTGTGTGTGTGTGTGTGTGTGTCTGTGTGTGTCTATATATATATAGATATAGATATCATGTGGGAAAGGGATTTGTTTTCAAACAACTTTATACTGGGTTATTGTGTTATTGTTTTTTAGATTCCAGTCAAGAATACACTGATTCAACTGGCATAGATCTACATGAATTTTTAGTAAATACATTAAAAAACAATCCCAGGTAAATTTAAATTTATAAGGTTTACCTTGCTTCTAGCATACCATAATTTTGCTATATATGTTTTCATTATTAAGTTACAATATTAGAATAAGATTGCAGATACTTGATGTACACCAGAAACATTTTAGTGACTTAGGTCTGATGATGTCTATTATGTGCATCTGTGTAAATAAATTCTTTTTGCATTATGTATGTCATCATGATGTAAAAAATTCATAGTCTATGTAGGAATTTTGGAAAATACAAAATCATCAAGATGTTTTGGTTCTAAATAGAGATTGAAAGAACGTTAAGAGGGAAATATATATAACCTTCCCACAATGCACTCAACCAAAATAAGAACTCATTGTTTTCGTTTATAATAAGGTTTAGAATTTAGTTGAATATAGAAGTTTTGTTGTTTCTTGATGAATTTTTAAACCTCAAGCCCAAAGCCTTTTAAGGTTTTTATTTGAGTCAATATTTTATTGCCAGGGAACCAGATGAGCAGTTTTTAACCTTTGGACTGATCATCAACCCCTTTGAGGCCCACAAAAAAGACCAGCCACAAAACATCTCACACTTTTCATGGAATAAACTATGCCAAAGTTAAGAACCTTTTTAGATATTTTTCAAAGTATGCAGTAGTTTTTAACATAACAAAAAAAGAAAAGTAAACCACCAGTAGTTATGAACACATGGAAGATAACATGAAAAAAAATCTCTTTAGTCTCAGACTTACCCGTTTGAGTCTTGTTTCAGAATAACTTTTTATTTTCATTCAGGATTTATTGTTATTCAGTATTGTCTTGATTTTCTGTTTGCACTTAGTACCCCAAAGGGAGAGTCACCAAAATGACTCCCTTGCATTGGGAACAGAAAGACTATAGGTATGAAGTAAGAGACAGTTGACAGCTCTACATGACCTATTTTTCCCATTTAAGTCTATTCCTTATTAGTCCCCGCCATAGATGAATTCATCAGTCCATTGAACAGGCAATTATTGAGTATCTACCATAATGCCAAACATTTTTTAAACATTGTTGATAGAAAGACGAAGAAGATACCATTATTTCTGTGCTAGGAATAAAAAATACATGAGATAATTAAAATAGAACAAATGTTGTAAAGTAGATTGTTATTAAAGTGCTGTCGAAACCAGAGGAATCTAGCCTCTGAAAGGATCTGGGAAGACTTTACTGAAAAAATAGCACCTAAACCAGGCATAGTGGTACACACTCATAATGTGAAATACTCTGGGAAACTGAGGCATGAGGATCTTAAATTCAAGCTCAACTCTAGCAATTTAGTAAGACTTTCTCAAATAAAAAATGGATCATTCTTAAAGAGAAGCAAGGAAATGGAATTTCAAATAGACAAGAGCATTGCCAAGATTTAGTAGTATAAAGAAACTGCTGTATTGCCAGGCATGGTGTCTTATGCCTGTAACCCCAGCACTTGGGAGGCTGAGGCAGGAGGATCAGTGGGAGTTTGAGGACAGCGTAGGCTATATAGTGAGTTCAGAGACAGCCTAACTGCACAGGGAAACCATAACTCAAAAAAGAAAAACTGCCATATATAAAAGAAAAACAAAATTGGGAATAGTGAAGAGATCTGTAAGGCAGCAATGAAAAATTATCTTATTTGAAATGCCAGTTGTATACAAACAATTTGGGAAATACTTAGCATGGCTGGTTAAGTTGAGGAATAATTACAAGATTTAGAAAAAAAATAATGTCATGAGATTTGTGTTTTAAGAGATTGCTTTGGCAAAGAAGACATAAGCAAGAAAGGTGGTTACTAGACCATAAAGAACAACAGAGAAGAAAGGACATATTTTAGAGTATTTAAGAAATAACCATTGAGATATTGGTACTTTTTAATTGCTAAAGTGAAAAGGGGTCAGGAGTAAATGAAATGGTATGTGCTGTATCATAAGTATACATAGAAATGCCTAAGATAGAGCAAGGAGATGGGCAGTTAAAAGGCTTTTTTTTTTGTATCGCGGATTGAACTCAGGTCTTTGCACTTGCAAGGCAGGCGGCAGAACCACTGAGCTAAATCCCTGGCCCAGAAGGCTTTTTCTTTTCATGTGAATGTGTGAATGAGCTACTTATTTAGGAATCATCAGTACAGATAAAACTAAATTTGGATGGGATTGCCCAGAGAAATTAGATAAATGACAGGAACAAAATTCTCCAAAACACACATTTATAAAAGGTAGATGAGAAGGGAAAGACTTGAGTCCTGAAGGTAACAGAAGAATCATGAGAATATTTGTCCTAGTAGTCAATCAAGGGAAACAATTCCACAAAAGATAAAGGAACAGAAGCAGATGAAAATAAAGAGTATCAAAACCAATCCATTAGAAAAAAATAAGAGACAAGGAAAAAAATAGAAACAAAGTCTTTGTAAATACAGAAGGATGAAGAGAGGTCAAGGGAATGGGGAAAAAATAAGAACCAAGGTATGTCATGTAAAGGTACAAGATCTTAATGATGAATGTAACTGTATTGTATACCTAAAATGTACCAATAAAGAAAAAAACTTTTAAATCCATTAAGCTGGGAAATTAGGAAATCAGTGACTGCTTTTTATATACTTTTTTTTTATTTTCTCTTCTTTTTCTTTTTCTTTTCTTCTTCTTCTTTTTTTTTTTTTATACTGGGAATAAAACTTCAGACCTTGTGCTTTCGAAGCAGGCAGCGGTGGTAGAAACCACTGAGCTAAATCCCAGGCCCATAAGCTTTTTCATTTGGACATAGGAGGGGGGTTTTGTGTTATACTGGAGATCAAACTCAGGACTTTGTGCTTGCCAGGCAGGCACTATGCTGTTGTGCTGTGTCACCGACCCAGTATGTGAGAAATTTGAAAGAGTGGCTTGAGGAATAACTAGGAATAATGTTAAATTTTGTCAGAAAATACATAGTCTGGGCTGGGGATATAGCGCGGTGGTGCCACACCTGCCTGGCAAGCACAGGTACTCTGTTCAATTCCCAGTACGAGGGGGAAAAAAAAAGAAACACATAGTCTGTATAAAGCAAGATAGGATCCTAACTAGGTAGAACTTTAAACTGTGGGAAAAATATCAGCCGGAAACAAAGTTGATGCATTCCAAATTAAATTTCTATTGTACAGTTCTTTTTTTTTTTTCCTTACAAAAGGTTTTTGAGTTGTCTGAATTTCTTTTCAAACTGTACAATTTAATGATTTTTAGTATATTTACTGATATGTCCAACTATTGCCACAGAAAGTTTCAGAACTTTTCATTGCCCCAAAAGTAAACCCAGTGCCATTTAGCCATTTCTGTGATGATCATGATAGATCATCCTGTTTGCTGTTTCTATAGATTTCTTTGTTCTGGACATTTCATATGAGTAAAATTATATATGGTTTTTCATGACTGAATTTTCTTAGCATAATAATTTCAAAGTGCATTCATATTATCAAAACTTTTGTTCTATGTATTCATTTTTATTTGAGTAAATACACAAGTGAATTCATTTAATGGTGAATCTATAAATTATTAATGTCATTTGTAAGTTTAGGAAATTGAAGCTAATGTTAAATTTTGTCACAAATATAATTGGCTTACTAAATGGCTCAGTATTCTGTCAGTAAAATGGATAGCTAATTGCCAGATAACCTGGCACACATTTAGTGTTGAATACAGCAAATTTCCATTAAAGTTTTCCAAATTCAGAATTACCTGGTGAACTCTGCTAGATGCTAATCAAATTTATTTTTCTTGATACTAAAATTCAGTAAATTTTTCCTTTCCTTTAAATTTCAATTTATTTCATGATTACATCTTATTTTCAGCCTAATAAATAATTTCATGTGTTAAATAATTAGTTCTGTGGCATTTGTTTGCAAGAAGTATTTTCAGGGTCATTACTCAATATAGTCATTAGAATGTAGTAGCCTGAAGGAGTCATTGACAGAGATTGTACTTACTGACATTATTTTATTCCTGTTTTTTTGTGTTGAATTTATACTTGAGTTGTATAAGTTTAATATGTAGAAACTAAATATATTCATAATTCAGATGTATAGTATTGTTCAGAATAAATCCAGTATGTGTATTTAAGTAATGGAGAGAAGCAAACCCACGGATTAATCTTGAGGCTAGATATTTTTAAGTAATCTATTTTGCTTGAAGGAAAATTGTATAATTCTACATTTATCTAAAAATTACTTTCATTAGAGATAAGTTTAAGTCACTTTACTGTAGAGATTTGAACAGGGTCCTATGAACCACTGAATGGGAGGTGATGAGACAGACACATCATTTTCTGTTTGTTTTGTTTTTTTTAATTTACCACTGGTATACTAATTACACGCACTTTCTCTAAAGTCATTTCTGGTACAATGACCAGAATACTGAAAACTAATAGTTTATTTTCCTTGTTTTAATTTTAAGGAATTTATTACTTAGTTTGAAACCTTTGTTTTTATTATTTATTTAGTGATACAAAGCATGTATCAGTTCGTTTAAAAGGTTATATAGTAGTAAGTATGCCTACATGTACTTGATTATGATTTGTGTGCTAAATGTAAATATACCTTAAGAAAAATAACTTGTAGATGCATTTGTTCTAGTTCTATATGTAATAATCATATAAAGAATTTGTAACTTTTAACTTATGTCCATTGCCAAAATAATTATAGATTTGTAAACTTGGAACCTTGGACTAAACTATAATGGATAAAAGGCAGAAAGTATAAAATATAATACATTGGAAAAGCTATTAATTTTATTTTTCTAATAAAGTCAACTAAAAGAATATGGTCCAGATACAGAAAAATCCTCTGCAATCCATACATGTACATTTAAAGGGAGAAAAAGCCTGAATTTATAACAGTGGTTAGTTGAATTTTTAGATTTTATTTTCTTTCATGGAAACTAGTTTTTTCCAATGACAGTACATTCGCTGAGGAACATCTGAAATGTATCCGCTGTTTAATTCAAACACAGATAATCAATTTTTTGTGTTTTTGATTGTTTGTTTATTTCTTTGGTTGGTTGGGGTTTTTTTTGTTTTTTTGTTTTTTGTCTTTTGAGACAGGGTCTCACTGTGTAGCCCAGGCTGGTCTCGAATTCACAGCAGTACTCCTTCCTCAGCCTCCCAAGTGCTGGGATTACAGGCATGCGCCACCACGCCCAGTGAGAATCAATTTAAATGCACTGTTTTCTGAACTCTGAATAAGTATCCTGCTTCAGATTTTTTATAGTGAAAGAGTGTATAAAATATATCATAAAAATTTTTACCATCTCAAAATAAATTGACCCCAGAAATTTAGATGAAAAGAGAGTCTTGCAGTTAGATATGTCAGTCCTTTTGGGAGAGAGGGAATCTTATGAAATGAAAGTCCCCTATCATCCCCCAAAATTTTAAGATTAAAAATAATTTTAAAGTCCTTCTGGATGAAACTTTATTTTATTCCATGCAAGGTTTTTTTGTTGAGCCCTTTCATGTATTTGCAGTCCAAGTAACAACATGATAATTGTGACAAATGCTACAGTATAAAAGAAACAGGTTTTAAGGAAAGGAAATGTGACAGTGTTCTAGGCAAAGAAATTCATATGTTCAAGGAACAGAGATAAGCCAGAACAGTGAGTTAGGGTCACATGATGAGTCTGGAAAGGTGGATGAAGACCTGCATATGCCTGCCTGCCTCATATTCCGCATTGCAGATACTCAGTTCTAAGAGCATTGGGAAACTCAGGACACATTTATCCAAGGGAAGGATGTGTGGTCACATACATGTTGTTAAAAGGTAATATTTCATACTACACATACTCTAGATTTGAATAGAACAACAAAAGCCATAGGCAAACTGTATTCTACTGTACAGTAGATAAGCCAGGGATCCTAATTGTTTGAATCTAGGGTTTGGACAATGGAAAAGCACAAGGCAGATAAAATTTGCAGTAGTAATTAATTGGATAGGAGCATTAGAAATAGATTGGTAACAAGCCTACAGTTTTCATACTTCTAATATGACACACTTGGCAACAAGTTTTGCTACTTACTTAAAAAGTAGTGTAGAAATGTGTGAGTAAATACGTTGAATAAATGATTGAGATAAAAGGTGTTACTCAGTTTTATGAAACTTCTATATGGTATACAATGAAGATCCAACTCCTCAGTTGACCTGAATGCAGGCTGGTAACTCCTCTGTTAAAGTTTGAGAAGAGTCTACCATTTAGTCTTCATATTAGAGAATCATTAACTCTTTGTCCCCATTTTCTTGATTTATAAAATTTGGAAGACAGAACTAAGTGATTTGTAAAGCTACGTCTGGTTTTGAGATTCTCTGAGAACCTTTTTTTCACATGCAAATAAACTTTTCTGGGAGCCTACAAAAAGCTAGAGCTATGTTCTTGTTGTATGAAGAGGAAGGACTTTTGGGGAGTAGTATCATTAATTGTTACAGCCTTAGTGCATTAAATAGGATGCTAATGATCTAATGGTACAGATGCAGACACTCCTAGAGTACTGGTTTGTTTATATGTATATCTTTGATTCACACTGATTTTTATAAGAAAACTTTTCAAAGCCTTTAAAATAACAATAGCAATGTATAGAATAAGTTGAACTGTTCTTTTCTGAAGTATAGTAATGTAATTCATACTTACATGCTGTAGCCTCATTTATGTATTAGCATTAGATTCCCTTAGGAGTATTCCTATTGTTACCAGCGTTACATATTCATTAGGGTACTGTTTCTATGGAATTCAGCATAATAATAAAGTCATGAGCGTAACTATAGAAGTGTGTTTTCCGGCTACCTTTCAGGCTTGCAAATGAGGAAGTAAAAACTGATATACTCCTTTTTTTTTTTTTTTTTTTTTTTTTTTTTTTCATACCAGGGGTCAAACTTGGGTCCTTGCACTTGCAAGGCAGGTGGTGGCACCACTGAGCTAAATCCCTGGCCCAAAACTGATATACTCTTGTTATCTATATGTAGAGTGCAAACTCCAATATAGTAATGCTTATCAGATCAAAATGCATTTAAAGGTGGCACATGCTGGTAATCTCAACACTAGGAGGCAGAGACAGGAGGATTGCTAGGAGTCTGAGACAAGCCTGAACTATGCAGAGACTCTGTCTCAAATCCCACCCACCCTGTGCATTAAAGAATGGCCAAGGCCTGGGATTTAGCTCAGTGGTTCTGCTGCCTGCCTCCAAAGCATGAGGACGTGAGTTCGATCCCCAGTACCTCCCCAAAAAAAAGAATGGCCTTATGTAGCCAGTCATGGTAGCACATGCATATAATCCCATCTGTTCAGTAGGCTGAGGCAAAAAGATTCCAAGCTTAAAACCAGCCTGGGCAATTTACAGAGGCTCCCTCTTGGAAAAAAAATAAAAGGGGTAGGGGATGTAGCTCAGTGATAGAGTAGCCCTGGGTTCAATCCCTGGTACAACATATACACAGAAAAAGAATGGTCACATGTTAATTGTTTAAATTTGGGGATGAGTACATTACAGTATTCATTCTAGATTAGTGCGTGGTAAAAATTTTCATATAAAAAGTTAAACTGAAAATCATCTTTCCTTTCAAAGAATTAGTTTTTTAGAAGACATGTAAATAATTTTAGCATCAAGCTTATAATAGTTCTTAATATGTAATTTTCAGAACATTAAGTAAATAAATTCATAATCTGTTGACATTTATGTTTACTTCCATATTAAGTGTTATATATAAGGGTCTTCATACTTTGTTTCAGGGACAGAATGATGCTGCTGAAATTGGAGCAAGAAATTTTAGATTTCATTGGTAATAATGAGTAAGTCCTGGCATTTAACAAGAAAAGCAATTGTCATCACAATTCTCCTTAACTTACTAAATTAGATTTTCTTCTACTTCTAGGTCACCACGTAAAAAATTCCCCCCAATGACATCTTACCATAGGATGTTATTACACAGAGTAGCTGCTTACTTTGGATTAGACCACAATGTCGATCAGAGTGGAAAGTCTGTCATAGTAAACAAAACTAGCAATACAAGAATGTAAGTGTCGAGAGATGTGAGTACATTGTTACATGTATGTCTTTATACTGATATTTACCTGCCTACAGCAACTTTCATCTGAGGTTTTACATCTGTTTTAGCAGCCTCAAACTTAATGATAAGCTTATATAATAGGCAAAAAAATACAATTAATTCTCTAGAAACAAAATGCACTAGCCTGTACTCAGCTGGGCAAGATGAATGACGGCTGGGGCATGCATTTTTAAAAAACAATAAACAAAACCTCAGGTTACTGCAATGTCAGCAATGATTGACAATCACTGTCTTGTAGTGGATTTTTTTTAAATGAACACAAGATAACTATGGCCATCCTTGGGTAAATTTGTTCTTTTTGTTTGTTTTTAATTTTAATGAGTAGAATTTTATCGTTGACTCCCCACATTTAATTAATCTAATACTTCACTTTTTCTGAAAATCCATTTTGTTTCTTTCCTTCCACAAATCTTAGGAAGGTGAGACTATTGGTTAATACAGAATCATCCATACTTCTATGTCCTTTTCTGGGCTATGTATAAGTTACTAAAGAAATTTTCTTTAAGAAAATAAGTAGTTCATCCATACTTACATTTGGAAGCAGAAGGCTCATTGCAGAGGCACCCAAGTTTAATAAATACACAGCACTTCTTTTATCTATTTATAAAGCTAATCCTACAACAACCAGTTGAGTTCACCTAAAGTTTTATGCTGTCCTGGTGATACGCCTATCAGAAGAATTTTCTTTAGCACTTTTAGATGTGGCAGCATTGGATCCAGTGGTAATGTGCAAAAGTCAAACTTCAGATTCCATGAGTAATACTCTTCAATCCATTATTTTTCTGCTCTTCCTGACTTCAGACTTCTCTCAGGGGTCTTGTTTTAGCTACACAATTTGCATGATTGTATTTATTTTCTCTATATTCTTTCCTTTGTAATGGCCTTTATCTTTATATCTGCCATATTACTTGCTGAAACTACATTGATTTTCTTCCATTTCAAGTTATGTGCTAAGAAGATAAATCTGATTTTCTGATGATTATTCCTATAACTAAAATTAATTAAGATAGTTTTCTTGGGAATAAAATCCTCTTTTTAGGGATATCTGAAAATGTGTGTAACCTAAAAATGTGAGTCTGATTTTTTTATCTTAACTTTTTATGAACTACCTTTTCCAATTAGTTACACAACTCAAAATATGAGCTGTACTGAAAGTGAATAGAACTGTAATTCATTTAACCAGTACCTTTCAACATTGCTCAGAGCTGCTGGAGCCCCAAGCACGTGTACATTAGCAGGCATTTTGACTAACATTTTGACTGATGACTCTCTAAGGTTTTCAATACAGTGTAACTTCAGTTATTTGAATTCAATAAATGATATGAGAAAGCTCTAGAATTCTCTTTTTCAGTGTAATCAAGAGTTTAGCCAAGCAAAGATATTTATGATGTGCCTAACAGAATTACAGGTTAATAACATAATTATAATAGAATATTTCAGATCATTGAAGTTACACTGTATTCTTATTTTATTTTATATCTTCTGGGATATGAAGAAGCTTGTAAATCAGAAAACCTTAGAGATCTGCTCCACATTGAATAAAAACAAACTTACCTTTTCCTCATAGGGAGATTACCCGCTCCAGCCTTCAACCAGTGGTGTTGTGGATGTCAACAACCCGGTGTCCACTGGGGTGTCTCAATGGAGCGGGAAGTTGGCGATTGCAGGGCAGTAAATTCAGGCATCTATAAAAGAAAGAGGTAAGACAGTCGTAAGGTTAGCTGAAATGCCTGCCAATGCTATTTGGTGTGGGAATCCAGCTGCTCTTAGAAAAGTTGCCAGGCCCTTGGTTAAACCTTAGAGTTCACTTTGAAATAGCAATCTCTCACCAAAGTACAAACTCTTTGAATAAGAAAACGTGACTTTGAACACCTACACAAATAGATGATATAAGTAATTAGCATGTGACATAAATAACATACTGCTGTTGTCAGAACTAAGGTAATATTTTAAACTTCCACAGAAAGCAGTCTTCTCATCTTTTTGGTTATGAAGCTATTTGCAGTCTTATTCTTCTCCTTTACCTTTGTATGTAGCTTATCTGGATGCCAGCCATTTCACTCATCTAAGTCCATTTTACAGTAGGTTTCTTTTGCTTGCTCAGATAATTCTCATTTTTATATCACCTTTTGCATAATTTACAGGAGTCAATTGTAGTACTTTATTTAAAATTCATGAGGTTAAACCAAATATTTAACAGTATTGCTTGAGTCCTATATAATGAAATATCTGGTCTTAGTTTGCCAAAAATGTTATTACTGAATTTATGATTAGCAGTTTACGTAGGGTTTTCTCATGTACTGTGTGCCTATATTTGAATTACGTTTTTTTAGATCTACTTAGGGATTCAGTTGTATTTTCTTTAGAGCTATTAATTTTTGTGTAGTGAGCATTTCAATCAAAAGAATAATTCCTGCTTTGTAACAGAATGACCTTAAGTCACAGAATGTTAATTAATTTGTTGGAAATGAGAATGTGTTTTGAGAGGTGAAATTTAATGTTATTGTAATTTTTCCTAGGGCCACAGACATGTGTATGTCTTCTAGATCTGAGTAGAAGCTTTAAATGTTTCTCACCTAAAAAGACCAATGTGCTATAAAATATGTTGAAATAAGATTTCATAGTTATTACTTTAGGTTACAACATTAACCTCCAAAAAGGAATACCCTGCTATAATTAGGAACTTTAATGAAGTATTTATAGTAGTGTAACATATATGGTACCATGTGCTATACTTTCTTCTTTGTCATACTATTTTAAAAGAATATTTGAGGAGGCAAGGCAGATAGATTATATAGACATCAGGTCTATCAGATCTGGATTCCAACTGTGACTCAGTCATGTTCTTGCCCTTTGACCTTGCATGGTTACCTTTGACTTTACATGGTTGCTCGAGCCATTTCAACCTCACTTTTCTCAATATTAATAGCAACAAATTTCTGCTGAGTGTTTACCATTTTAAGTGCTGTTCTTGTATTTTTTCCATTTTGAGTACAACCCTGTGAGGTAGGTTTTACAGATGAGTAAACTAGAGAATAGAAAGGTTCAGTAACTTGTACAAGTCCTAAAGCAACTAAAGTGGAAGGTTTGATGTTTGGACCCAAGTAGATCTGACTCCAGCTTCCATGTTGGTTTTTGTTGTTGTTGCTGTTGTTTTTAATTGCCTCTCAACCATAATGTGAACAGTATCTTTTCATGAGATTTTGGTAATTTAATGAAGTAACATAAGTACCTCTTAATGGCATAAATAAGTGGCCATTATTACTTTTTCTAAGATGTTATGTTTAACTTTTCTGTAAATATTATTCGTTATCTTTTTTGTTTCTTTGTTTTCTAGACCTGATCAGAAATTTAATGAACATATTAAAGATGATAGAGGTGAAGATTTTCAGAAACGATATATCCTTAAGAGAGATAACTCTAGCTTTGACAAAGATGACAACCAGGTGATTGAGCAAATACGGCATTTTTAAAGATGCAAAATTTATAGCATTTTCTCAAGAATTAATTGTTCTCTTTTTTTTAGATGAGAATACGTTTAAAAGATGACAGAAGAAGCAAATCTATAGAAGAAAGAGAGGAAGAGTACCAGAGAGCTAGAGACCGAATATTTTCCCAAGATGTATGTAGTAACTCTTGTTTAGGACTTTTTAGAATACATTCTAGTTGCATTGTAGGACCTCATTTCCCCCTTTAATCTATTGATCCCATTTATTTTTAGCCATACTTGTTACATATTCACTTACCTGTTAGAAATATTGAGATATTTTGTTCATGGGTTTTTTTGTTTGTTTGTTGTTTTAGGGGGGCATTGAGACAGTGTCTCACTATGTAGTTGAGACTGAACTGGAACTATGTAGCCCACATTGGTCTCAGATTCACAGCAATCCTCTTGCCTCAGCCTCCTAAGTGCTGGGATTATAGGCGTGCGCCACCACGCCCGGCCTTTGGTTTTTTTGTTGTTGTTGTTGTTGATGTTAATAGTTTAATAGTTGTTTAAAGAACACCACATTTAAGAGTGATGTAAAATTTTTCAAAAGTTAAAAGCAGATGGACCATTGAAGTTATTGAAAGATTATTGGGCTGAGTATGTTTTGTGTAATTTTTTTTTCCAGACTTCTAACAGACTTAAGATTTTTTTAGTGCATTGGTGATTATCTACAAATGATATATTCTAAACCCTACTTGTTGTAATGGACCTCCTTGAGAAGTAATTTACTTCTCTTTTTGGATTTTATATTAATAGTCATTTTCAATTTTCTAAGTGATTATATGAGAGAGATTCTCTAATTGACTAATGATGTTATGGGTATTTGCCAGTAGAAAATCAATTTGTTTTACCAGCATTTGTTAAGCACTTCTTTTTTGCAGTACTCACTACTCTTTAAGGATATATGAATGTATATAACATTCTTTAACACTACTACACAGAAATTTTCTTTGTGTTAAAAAACAAAAATAACTAAATTCAAACCATCAGTTGTGCATTATAACATGCAACAAATCTTATTGAACATCTATAGTAAATGCTATGCCAAGCCACTAAACAGTATATCTGTAGAGAGTTAGGATTCCCAAAACAATCCTATGTGGTCATTACTATCATTATATTTATTTCACAGATGAAGAAACTGTGGCACTAAGCAAAATAGAGTTAACACGGCTAGAAAACAGCAAAATTAGGATTTCAGCGACCATGATGGTGAACTTAGCCTATCATAGAAACATTTTTTCCTTACTCGTTTATAAAATACTTGAGGTTTCTAGGCTTGATAGTCAAGAAATGGCAATGTGATACATAGTTTGTATAGAGACGTCAAGTTTATTATAGTGTGCACAGTGGAGGAGCCCTACATACTATGGAATATGCCAGAGAAGCGTAATAAACAAGAATTGAAGACGGGTGGGAGAGCTAGCTTCCAGGAGGAGAGCCACAGAGTGAAGCATTCCAAGTAGAGGGTCAGTATTTGCAGAGGCCCAGAGATAAAGAACTTGACAGGTGAAAAATTGAAAGATTCAGAGTGGCTAGATTATACCCTGGCTAGCATAAGAAGTTGGGAAAGTTTAGGAGAAATAATTGGGAAACAGATGACTTGATTTAGTCCTTAGTGTTTAAGGGACTTTAGGCATTTTTTGGTCAGCAAATATTTTCTATAAAGAACTATTAAGAACTAGTAAATATTTTAAGCATTTTTCAGTAATGTAGTCTTCACATTACTCAATGTGACTTTCCATTTGATAGCAGCATAATGCATAAATAAGTAGTCATGGCTGTGTTCCAGTAAAACTTTTATTTGCTCCAACAGGTGGTTGGCCATAGTTTGTTGACCCCTTTGCTAAATACTACGGAGCCATACAATTCTGAATAAGGGTGATCAGTGACATTTTAGAGACTTCTTTGGCTTTGGGTATATGAAATGATTACAAAGGGCAAAAAATGATAGCTGGAAAACTAGTTAAAAGACTAAGTAATATAAACAAAATGATCTTTGCCTGCCTAAGGTTCACAGCACTGGAGGAATTTGTAAGCTCCATTATGGAACAGATGCTGTTTACTTCTATCTCCATAGTCAACCCACTGGCCAATACTATCATATTTGATACAAGAGTCAAATATTGGTTAAGTAAATGAGGTAGAATCTGCAGTCTGATACATACCTTGAATGTATGATTATGAAAATGAGTTCACTTGTTTATGTAAGAGAATATGTGAATTTCAGATTTGAACCACAAATTGAATGACTTCCAGATCCATATTTGTTTAAAGTCTCCAAGTAATAAAAATTTATTATCATTTATTTTTGCACCATTATCAACGATTTTAACCTTTTTTGGAGGTGGGAGATACTTTATAAATATTACTACATAAGAATTTTGTTATTTGCAGTGGCATTTGTATTTGACAAAAGCTCAACTTTTTATATCTCTTCTTTCTTTCTAGTCCCTGTGTTCTCAAGAGAATTACATTATTGACAGAAGGTGAGGGAATTTTTAACAACTCTTTTTGGTAACTGCTGACTAATGCTAATAAAAATTAAAATGTCTTATTAAAATGCCAACAGAATCCAAGACGAGGATGCTAGTAGTACCCAGCAAAGGCGCCAGATATTTAGGTATTAGAAGCATGTTTCCAATACAGTATTGAAAAATTGAAGCATTTTTTACCCTCTCTTTTCCCGCATTAGCTTTTCAACGTTTTATTTTTTAATTACAGAGTTAATAAAGATGCTTCAGGAAGATCAACAAATAGTCATCAAAGCAGCACTGAGAATGAGTTGAAATATTCTGAACCACGACCATGGAGTAGCACAGATTCAGATAGCTCCCTGCGAAACTTGAAGCCTGCTGTAACCAAAGCCAGCAGCTTTAGTGGCATCTCAGTCCTGACAAGAGGTGATAGCTCTGGAAGCAGCAAAAGCATAGGCAGGCTTTCTAAAACAGGTACAAATATCTATGTATAATGTAGTACTGTGTAGTCAAAACTAGTTTGCTTAATGTTTTAGCTCACCATGTAACTTTATCATGTTACCCTGAAATGTTAAATTCCCATCTGCAGTGCACTGGCTCCCTCCAAAGTACATAAAGGATAACTGTTTACTGACATTAGGATATACTCTCTGACTGGAGGTAGATTCAGAAACATCAATTTAAATGAAATTTCTTCTCTGTTGTGATATAATTTAATTAGGTAGGTCCAGTGACTTGTCATCTTTAGTTTGAGATCCCAAAGATGATTGGAAATTCTCTATTAGTTATCTTTGATTGGAAAGTGTGGCTTCTTACCTGGGAAGGTATAATATTCATTGTATTTTCAGCCAGTACTATCAATTATTGACTTTATTTTCATGGTGTCCTTTGTTTCCCTTTCCAAAAAAATCAGTAAAATTGCCAAGAAGTTTCTGAGAAATTAAAAACCAAACAAAAATAGTGTGAAGTAACTATTATAAATGATTGGAAAATTCAGTATTCTCACTCTCTTGGCTGCTCTTCATTTAGTCTACAGTGGCTCATAGTATTTTCCTTTCATTTTCATTAACTGACTTTAGTATTAAAGTTCATAGTTTTTTTAGGTCTCTTGTAGATCCTTATTTTTATCCCCAAATAAACATGAAAGTTAGAAATGGCTATTTTTAGAGTAGTCTAGTAACATGGTGTCATACATGTAAGACTTTAGTGCTGTAAATTATTAAGACTTGTGAATATCTTTTAATTTAAAATGTGGATATATTGGGAATATTTTAGTACTTATGTTAGGATATTGCTAATAATAGGTAAATTTTTTTAACATAAAAACTGTATAAGCTGGCCACAGTGACATCTATAATTCCTGCCAATAAGAAGGCTGAGGCAGGAGGATTGCAAGTTTGAGGCCAGCCTGAGCAACTTAGCAAGACCCTATCTCAAAGTAAAAAGAAGTTAGGGTACAGCTCAGTGGTAGAGTGTCCCTGGATTTGGTCCTCAGTGCAGGAACAAAGCCTGCATGTGTGCCAAGTAGACATTATTTGAAAAATGACTAGTAGATAATCATAACAGAAAAAACTTTTTTTTTTTTTTATGATGAGAAAGTCATTTAGACACACTGTCAAATTAGGACATTTTGGCCAGGGATTTAGCTGAGTGGCACCTCGCCTACCTACCAAGTGCAAGGTCTTGAGTTCAATCTCCGATACAAAAAAAAAAAAATTAGAACATGTCATGAAAATGTACTATATACAATCTATACTATCTTCTGAGATGAAAATATTAACCTTTTAATAGGGAGAAATGCTTTTTAAAAAATTCTCAGGTCACAGAATATTTGAACTATTAACATTTTATGCTTCTGCCTTTCCAAGAATAGGAGCATTTGTTTAACAATTCCTCTTATCCCAAATTATTAAACTCGATATTGTATGCAGAGTATAAGTATATCTGGGATACACTCCAACAAATAAGCAATATCATAACTATGTTATTCTCAAAAAGTACTGTCCAGATATTCTTTCCTATATAATTAAACACTCACTGGCCACATTTTTAAAAACTTATATTATTTGGCAGTAAATGCATTTATTGTGCTACAAGTGCATCTGAACTTTCCTTTAAGTATTTTAAAGTATGTCCAAGAGAACACCTGCTTTAAATTTATTAAGAAATGTTAACCTGGGGCCAGAGATTTAGCTCAGTGGTTCTGCTGCCTTCTTTACAAGCGAAAGGTCCCGAGTATGATCCCCAGTACCAGAAAAAAAAAGCTGTTAACCTAAACGAATATCATCTCAGAGGCCAGGGATTTAGCTCAGTGGTTCTGACACCTGCTTTGCAAGTGCAAGGACCCGAGTTTGATTCCCAGTACCAGAAGGGGGAAAAAAAGAAAAAAGAATATCATTCCTACTTAAAGTTAGGCTTACTGAAGGAAAAGTTGAGGAGAAAAAAATAAATCACAATAACCATCTTTAGGTCAAAGGCCATTATTTCTAGCTGGGATATTTAAAAAAAAAATTTTATCTCACCAACTCACACTCTGCAAGTAAGGAATGACTCTGACAGGTTGATAACTCTTTGTAAGATGAGATATCAGAAATACTCATTTCCCTCCCATTTTCCATTCTCCAATATATGTAATTTTTTAGATTGTGATTGGTGCTAGCTCAAGAAACATTGGTAGACTTGAAAGCAGTGTGCAAAGCTTGCATTTTCTGACATTTGACTTTTAAAAGAAGTTTGATTTATCCTCATATAGAAGTCTCATCTCTAAATAAGTTACATGGCAAAGTTACTTTACGGAATGTTTGTATACACTTTTATGTCTATAGGTATTCATTTGAAAATGTGAAAGTACATCAACAGTCTTAATTGAGTAAAATTTTTAAAAGTAAGATGGTTGATGAGTGAATCTATAAGGTACTGATCTTACTAAAAATTGTAGAAAGATCATACTGGTTTCTTTGGTATCAGTTTCTTAAACCAAATTCAGGCTTGGAAGAAATGTTTAACATTAATTGCCTTTACCTTCATAGGTAAGTTTCAGCTTTCTCTGACTAAGAGAAGCATGCTTATGTTACAGAAAGTATAATTAGTGTGAAGAATTCAGCCTTTTTGTAAACTTCCAGATACAAATAGATTTTGATATATAAATGAATTTTCTGAGACACTGTCTCTTATTTTTGTGACTATTTCAGCTGGGCTATCTACAGCAGTCCTATGAATGTATCCCTAAATGTGGTTAATGAAAACAAACAGCTTCCTCACAATTAAGTAGATGTCATTTAAAGACAGAAGAAAAATATTCAAGTGTGTAGTCTCCCTATCATTATACAGTTTGTTTTTCCACACTTGTCAGTACATTAATCTAAATGTTTAGTATTTATAAAGGGTTAATTGTCCTTCATCAAACTGGTATTAAATAATTCCATCCACTTAACAAAAGCGAAGATGTGGAAGAAGTAGAACCTGGGCACTAGTACTAGTTAATAAGTCAATAAAGACTAATGTCCAGTGTTGAGTTGGTCATTTTAACAAAAGGAAAAAATAATCTTGGTGATAAATCAGTAACTATTAACTAGAAGATCACAGGATATATCCATTATACTTTTCAGGATGGATGATTTTTACTGTGGTGCAAATATGTTAAAATTATACCGTATGATAATTTGCATCTAGATCTAAAAAAGAGAATCTGGAGCTAGGTAATGTAGCTCATGCCTGTAATGCCAGCACTGGAGGCTGAGGCAGGAGGATCACCATGAGTTTGAGGCCAGCTACATAGTGAGTTTAAGGCCAGTTTGAATTAAAGTGAGACCTTGTCTCAAAAGCACAAAAAATCTATGCAATATATAATTTTTCCAAATTAGTTTTCATTTGGGAAAAAGTTCCAAAAATATCTCCAAAGCAGTTTTTCTCATCAGTTGAAAAGTCCTTCAAATAGAGAACTACTGGGAAGACATGGTTTGTGGGGGTGGAAAAGAAAAGCTTCCTCAGATTTTGGAGGGAATTAATTTTAAAAATATTTAAGCGGTTAAGTTTACTTAGCATAGTTAAAAGTTAAACTTTTCAATTTTAACATTGCTGCTACATCTAAAATAAATTTATGTGATGTTCTGCTTTTTAGAATGCTTAGAGAAAATTAGAATTCTTTTTTTCTGGGGGGGTGGGTACTAGGATCAAACTCACTCAGGGCCATGGGCTTGGGAGGCAGGCAGCAGAACCACTGAGGTAAATCCCTGACCCTAGAATTCTTATTAAAGAGTTATTGTCAAGGATCATTTTGAAACAACTTAAAATAGAAATGGTCCTTCAGAAGGCAGTCTGTATAGTATGTCATAGTTGTTTATTTCATTCCTTTTTTTTTTTTTTTTTGAGACCTATGTAGTTGAGATTGACCTGGAACTCACTATGTATGTAGTCCAGGCTGGTCTTGAACTCACAGCCACCCTGCTGCCTCAGCCTCCCGAGTGCTGGGATTACAGGTGTGCACCACCACGCCCAGCAGTTTCATTCTTTAAAACCTCTCCATCCCAGGCCCAGAATTTGGCTCAGTGGTTCCGCCGCCTGCCTCACAAGCGCAAGGGCCTGAGTTTTATCCCCAGTACCATTAAAAAAAAAAATTTTCTCCGTCCCATTGCATAGTGGCAAATGCCCTTTTTCCAGGCAAGCACAAGGTCCTGAGTTCAATCCCTGGTATAAAAAAAAATTAAATGCAAAAAAACAAGAACTCTCCATTCCAGAGTGACCTCCTTTATTCAAAACCTGATTAATTATATGTTATCCAAATATTTTCCATTCTTTTATTGTCTCATTTCATTGTCCACCTTTAGCTATTGTGCTGAAGTCAGTGACATTTTCAGTCTCCATGTAATAGAAAATGAAATAAATCACAGGCTTAAAAGTCCTCACAATTGCCGGGGATTTAGTTCGATGGTTCTGGCGCCTGCCTCACAATCACAAGCACAAGGACCCAAGTTCAGTCCCTGGTACCAAAAAAAAAAAAGTACTCACAATTCAATTACCAAGTTAGTTCATTAAGTTTAGTGAGAGATAAATTTTAAATTAATGGTAATACAAGTACTTAGAATATTTTTCATGTCATCTCTGTCACTTGATTAAAAAAATTGGAAGCTGAAGTTTACATTATGAGATGATGCTACAACTGTGAGCTGAGAAATGAAGTTCTGCAATGAAATTACAATTTTTTCTCTTAATAGATAATTTACCATTTCTATTTTCTACACTTTTTGAGGGGGAAGGTGTACTGGGGATCAAACTACCTTGCACTTATGAGGCAGGTGATAGCACCACTGAGCTAAATCCCCGGCCCTTTTCTACACTATTTCTGATGTAAGAATTTTTGCTGTGCTGAATTCTTTTCCCTGAGGGGAAATGGTAATCTGTATAATTCTAGGTGTCAATCTAAAAGGTAAAATGTATATAACTTGTACTTTTAGGAACGAGGGAAATGTGCTTTTTCTGGCTGTCTGTGGATGTTACCACAAATTTGCTTAAGTTGCTCGCTTTGGCTTTGAATTTTGACAAATTACATGGTCAGTTTGCTATATTAAATCTTTTGTTTTGTTTTATTGGTACCGGGGAATCAAATTCAGGACCTTGCACCTACGAGGCAGGCATAAGAATCACTGAACTAAATCCTTAGCCCTGCTGTATTAAATTTGTTCATGTTTGGGAGGTTAAGCAAAATTGGTCAGTAAATCAGAAAGAACCATTGCTTTAATGTTGTAACTGCGTGTTATGCAGTGTGAATTTTATTGTTATATTGTTAAGCCTATGTTTCTATATAAGATTTTTTAAATCCATATTTTTCATTACTTCTTCCCTAGGTTCTGAGTCTTCTGGTAGTGTAGGGTCATCTTGTGGCTCTCTTTCTCACATCCAGCAGCCTCTTCCTGGTTCAGCTCTCAGCCAGTCTTCTCATGGTGCACCGGTCATCTATCCAGCTGTCAGCACTCATAGTTCTCTTTCTTTTGATGGTGGCCTAAATGGGCAAGTCGCACCTCCTAGCACTAGCTTCTTTTTGCTTCCTTTGGAAGCAGCAGGCATACCACCTGGCAGTATTCTGATCAACCCACAAACAGGTTGGTATCCAGGGGAAAAAAGTGTTTATTTCAGTTGTATGTTTAAAGTCATATTTATAGCAGAATGCCCCTTATGACATTTTAAACTATTGAACAATAGGTAAAGAACAATTCATTTCTTAGAAATAAGGCAGCCACCTTTGATACAGCTTTATTTGGTAAAAGTCTTATTCTGGAGGAAACAATGCAATTTATGAAAGAAGCAAATAAGCAACTCTTAATCATATAAGTGGAAAAATCTATGTGTAATAAATTGCCCTTCAGAATGTGGTGATTGTGTTTTTATTTAGATAGAGCTAAAAAGACATTATTTCTTTTTTAAAAATGAGTAGAGGCCTGGCATGGTGGTGCATGCCTATAATCCCAGCACTGGAGGCTGAGGCAGGAGGATCACTGTGAGGAGACCAGACTAAGCTAGATAACCAGGTCAGTCTACATAGTGATACCCTCTCTCAAAAAACCAAAAAAAAAAAAA